TGTGTGAGAGAGAGAGAGAGAGAGAGAGAGAGAGAGAGAGAGAGAGAGAGAGAGAGAACCTGTGGGAATTGGTTCTCTCCTTCTACTATGGGGAATTGAACTCAGATTATCAGACTTGGTGGTAAGGGCCTTGATCCACTGAACCATCTCTCTGGCCCCAAAGTTCACTTTCTGAAATCACAAGATACACATCATGGATGCCACCATGGAAATGGATAACTGGGCCCCTGAGTTCCAGTGCCACTCACACACAATGGATCTGATTTCTGGGTGAGCTTGCCCGGGCTTAAGCTGAGTCCTAGTTCCCATGACATCACCACAAAACTACACATGTTGATCTCTGCTTGTCCCTTGCCACGTAGAAAGTTCCAGAAGCAAGGGTCAACAACATCTTTGCAATCAGTGTGCTGATGAAGCTACCCTGAAGGACAAGATCTTCAGAAGGGCAAAGGTCAACTATATTTGTTTGGGAAATAAAGAAAAGAAAATCAAATATACCAACAGCAAAGGCACTGGGAGGAATTTCTTGGAGTTCTGCTTTTAGCAGAAAAACTGGCAGAAAGCAAGGTCACTGTTGGGAACTGGGGCAGCAGATGTGTCTAGCCAGAGAGTGAGGAGGAGGCCCAAGGAACTCAGTCTCCGGAGGGAAAAGAGGGATCAGAGGCTGGAGCAGCACTATGAAGGCCAGGCACCAAGGGAGCTTCAAAGAGACTTTGACAATTAGGAGCAGGATGAGGATACAACTAACCTCAGACTGGGGTTCTCTGAGGATTGACTGGTCTCCCTCAGACTGGTGCTCCCTGAGGATAGGCTGTGTGTCTTCCCTAGACTGGGGCTCCCTAAGAACGAAGCTGTGTGGGACTGGAGAGATGCCTCCGTGGTTAAGAGCTGCTCTTTCAGAGGAGCCAGATTTGATTCCCAGTACCCACATGGCAGCTAAGAACTGTCTCTAGTTCCAGGAGATCCAACACCTTCTTCTGGCCTCTGCAGGCTTTGCATGACATGGGTGTACTTTACATGCATGCAGTCAAAACACTCATACACAGAACAAATAAAAATTTTAAAAGAAGGATGAGACTGTGTCCCCCCTCAAATTGGAGCTTTCTAAGGACAAAGTGTTCTAGCTGCCTCAGACTGGGATTCCTTGAGACACGGCTGCAGCTTCCCTGGCTGATGGGGCCTCCTGACAATGGAACTGTTCTGTTCTATCTTGACACCCATTCAGAATCTCCAAATACTTTTCATCCCTCATTCCATCCTGGTCTACACATATATACACAAGTACCTGGATCTCTGGCCTCTCCCAAATATGATCTTATGGGAAGCTATGGGTAGAGAAGCCACGGGAAATTCAGAGATGATGGACAGTCTGGCCTGGGAGTCCTCAGGCTGCTTGAGGCTGGGGTCAAATGCTTTGCAGGACAAATGACATAAGATGTCAGGGGGTGTGTAAGAACTAGGGAGTAGTTGGGGCAGGTCTCAGTAATGATCTGAGGGTCCCCAGAATACTTAGGACCAAGAGGTACACGTAGGGAAAATGAAGGCTAGACTAGCAAAGAGAAAGGGCATTTCCATAGAAGGACATAGAGAGGACAAAGGGGTAGACGTGAATGGGCTGGGAAGGTGGCTCAGTCCATAAAGCAATTGCTGATCTGAATTCAATCCCCAGAACCCATGTAGAAAGCTGGGTGTGGTGGCACACTCTTATAAGCCCAGAGCTAAGGGTGGCAGAGAAAGGAAGATTCTTGGGGCTCACCGGCCAGTCAGCCTAGCTTCTTTGGCAAGCCCCAGGTCCAAGTGAGAGACCCTGTCTCAAAAACAAACAAACAAACCCTGAGGTACCTGGCTATTGAGGAATAACACCCAGATTTGACCCCTGGCTTACACACACATGTGCATACACGCACATGCATATTCAAACACATGTGCCTGCACATTCATGAGCACACATACATGCACAAGAAGGTGTAGAGGCAGCCATATCTGTGTTCAAGGGGATTTTCCTGGGAAAGGGAATGTGGGTGAGATGTGAGGCTCTGATCTGGGACAAGGCTGGGTAAAGTTGGGTACCACCAGCTCTGGAGCCCAGGTGGCCAAGTGGAGAGTGAGTGGCCCTATCTTTGGATTCAGATCTGGTTTTAGATCCTGGGGCTCTCCCATAAATTAGAACTATGATCTGACACAAGTTTTAACTTCAGCTGGCTTGTGTGAAAAATGAGAGTAATAACAGCCCACCCCTGCAGGACTGCTGGGAGGACTGAGCATCCGCGGGCACAGAAGAGGCTTTCAGTGGTAGCCTGGCTTCCTGGATTCGGGGGCCTGAACTTTTCCTTACTTCTAGGTTCAATAAACTCCCTGAAAGAATTAACATAGACGTCCCAGGACTCAGTATCAGTCCAGAGAACAGGTTTGAGATTCAGGGGCCAGAGGACAGGTTAGAACTTCTTAGAACTAAGGTGCTCAAAACCTCTCTGAGGAGGATGGACACAAGTAGAGAAAACACCTAGGTAGAGGAGACAAGGAGGGGACATTCCTTGGACTTGGGAGTTTGGAGAAGAAGCAAGAGGGGGTTCACAGTCCGGGGAAGTTGCTCTCTGTCAGTTCCACAGCCTGCCGCAGTGGAACAAGGCATCTTGCGCTGGCTCGGTATGAGCATGCGGACTAGGCTTTTTCCTTTTCTGGAAATCATTTGGGTTTAGGGGAAGGAGGAAAGAACTGAGCCTTTCTAGACCACTGTGCAAGGACAAATTATGGAGGAAGGGTCCCTCGGAAGGAACTAGAGAGCCCCCAGCTAGATCCAGATGCCCTGTCATGTTCTCCCGGGAAGCCCAAACCTTCCTCCTTGCTGTCTCTCAGGGCCCGAATCACACTCTGCATTGCTGAGCCCCATTTTTTGTGACCCCTTTTTTTCCTTAAATTTTACGATTAAAGGGGCAGAGCAAGACAAGTTGTACACACCTCTCAGACTCAGGGACCCTCTTACAGAGACACGGTCACATGCACGTCACCTCAAGGACATCCCCAGCACTAAGACCCTGACATTGAGTTTCTTGTCCCCACACCATCACACACAGACTTCCAGGCACACAGTTAGGCCCCCTACACACATACAAACATACACCCTTGACTGATACATTTCACCCCACACAGTTACAAACATAAATACTATCACAAGCATGGTCCCTCTCCCCTACATGTCCACATACCAACAGACCCCAGTTCACTCACCAGGGTGTCACACATAGTCCCAGGCCCTCTTAAAGGCACAGTAGCATGGGCAAACTCCCAATATATACACAGTCTTAGACACACAGTATATGTTGAGATGTTGTTGCATACATTGTGGGTCCCATTTCAGCTGGTGACACACAGGGTTCCAAACAAACACAGAGAAATGGGGGTTCATAAGCCTGAACCCATCTATCTGTCTATCTCTACATCATATCTATCTCCTTATAATACACATGTGCATGTAGACATACACAGGAATTCACCTAGGAACAGGCTGCAGCGAACAAAAGGCCTGTTTTTCCTCAGTGCCAGGCATTCGAGGGCAGGATGTGGTTTCTTGGCTGCTCTTGGTCAGCCTCAGGCTGGGTCCATGTCTGAGAGGGAGCCCAGCTAAGGACAAAGTCCACCCTCACTTCACCAAGTGACAGCTTCAGCCTCGAGCACCCTTTGCTAGTGTGCAGAAGCCAGGGGCTTCCACCAGTTCCTTTCCTGACTTTACTCTGCAGCCTGGGGACACGCCAGGTTGTAGAAGAAACAGTTTAGTTCTCTCAAGACCTAAAGCTACCATCTCAGGGTGCCAATGCCTCAGTCTCCTAGGTATCCTTCCATGACAGAGTCTGTGATCCCTGTTTTACAGGTGAGAAAACAGGTTTGGGGTTGGTCAACGATCCTACCTAAGAACTCCAGTCAAGAGCAGAACTAGCATTAGAACCCAGTTCCATCTGGTTGGAACTTTGGATGTCTTCTCAGTAACCTAGCTCCCTCATAGAAGGTCTGTAAATGGAAAGGAACAGTATGTGTGTGTGAGGGGGGGTGCTCTACCCCAGAGAACGTAATAAAGGTGCTTAGGGCACCTTTTGCAGAAATCTGTTTGGCCATCCTTTGACCTACAGAGACACAACTTCCAGCCTCATCAGACTTCAGCTGTCCCTTCATGCCCTCCAGAAGGAATGTATGACCCCAGCCCCTCACCCTTTGCTTCCCTGCTTCTAAGCTGCTGGGCTACCTTACCTAGGGAACCCCACAGTGAGTGACACAAGAGAGAGAAATTCTAATCTTGCTGACATTGCAGAGAGAAAACAAAACACAAAATTTAGTTTGAGAGTCTTATGTGCATTTGTGGGTCTTGTCACAGTTACTGAGGTCAAAGCTGCTTGTCGCACACCTCTCTGTGATGACCAAGGATTCCAGTACCCCCATAACAAGAACATTCTCCTCTCAAAAACTCCACTATCCCTGCTCAATGTCTTCCTTTTCTAGCACCTGGGTCCTGTTACCAGCCAGGGCTAAGGAGTCAGAAGGGAAGGGAGGAAAAAGCAGGTTCAAAGGAAAGGGGATTGGGTCAGGGGTAACCCTCCCCCAAGCCTTGGCTCTCTTCCCTTAATCCCAACCTGATCTTCAAACTTGGCCTGCGACAGACAGCCTTGCTTGGACCAGGAGACTCACATCCCCACCCTCCCAGTCCATAAGAGGGAACTCAGTAGCAGATCTGCAGCTGTGGCCCTGGAAAGATCTCAATATCACCAGGAAAGCTGTGGCCTGCTGGGGAGGATCAATGAAGGTGCCAGGGACCTGGGAAGGTATCTTCTGGGACCAGGACAGTAGCTGGCACCAGGGGAACAGGGAGAGAAAGAGGAAGTGTCTATAAAAGGATTTGGGGGCTGGAAAGGTGCTGGCACCTTAGTTGAGAGGCTCATCTGTCCACAACTGGATTCTCGGTCAGTGGTCCTGTTTGGGACCAAATTTAAGACCTATGCAGGGTCACTTACCCCCTAAAGGTCTCAGTCCTTTGGTTATGGGGATGAACACAGGAGATGACAGGGAGGGTTCTCCCTAATGCAAGACAGGCCACCCAGCTGTGCCTCCTCTGTTCAAGGGTGTCCTGGAAATACCACTGTCTCCCAAAGCAATTGACTTCCATCCCCTGGGCAGCAGCCTGAAGCAGGACAGGCAGCCAAGCCAGAGATGGGGCTGCAGGGGTCCAACTGCTGCCTGTTCCCCGGTGGTACCAAGGAGGGTAGGATATTACTGTGTTTCATTATGCCGTCTAGTGATTTGCCAACCAAGAGGGAACCAGAATGGGTTTCAGCAGAGTGTGTGAGGGGGCCTGGCTGATTCTCAAGAGCACAACCTACTATATGCTTGCTGCAGGGGCTGGTGGGGCACTCTAGTGCCACCTGGGAGGTCACTAGGAAGGATAACAAGCCATCAGCTGCAGGGTCCCTGGGGCTGGGGGCCTGATGATGAGGGGGAAGCAGCTAGGTTTCCACATCCAGGCCCTCTCAGCTCTCCAGAGCTTTTGGGGGGTTTTGACAAGGGAAGGGAAGACCTGAGGGGAGGGGAAGCACCGCAGGGGTCCTGGGCACAGTGGGGTATGCAACTGGGAAGAAAGATGGGTCACGCCAAGGCAGCTGGCATGGGTTTAGGAAAAGGAGTTGGGAAAAGTGGTACAGAAAGACAGATTCGTCGCAGAAGTCAGCGCAGGGTAGCCGCGGGGCAGCTGGTGCCCTGGCAGAGGGGACTGAGAAGTGGGCGCCTCGCCAGGGTGGGGGTATTCACTGTCTAAGCCCCACCAAGGTCCCCCAACTCCCTAATCCCTCCTCCCCAGAGGCTTAAGCTTTCTGGGGTCTCGGAGTTTCGCTCAAGTCCAAGCCTCCCTCCCCCCACTCTGCAGCGTCCCCCTCCCGCTTGTCTCAGGGGTCCCCGGGTCTCACCTGGGGGCGGGGGCCGGCTCTGCCTACTGCCCCGAGCAGCAGAAGCGCCAGGTGCAGCGGACTGGGGGCGCCGGCCATGGCGGGCGCTCAGCACTGGGCCATCGCTGCCACCTGCGGAACCGTGCACCGCGACTGCTCCCCGCCGGGCTGCGGGGGAGGAGCCGGCGTGGGGCCGCCCCACCCGCGGGAGGGGCCGGGCGGGGTCCCCGCTGTCTTCCGCCTGGGTCTCTGGGGGACCCCGGGCCAGCTCCGCTGCTGGTGTCCCGGGCCAAGAGGTGCCAGGCGCTGCGCTCCCTGCAGACGCCACTCGGGTTAAGGTAAAAGCACAGCACCAGCTCAGAGCGCCTGCCGTGCGCGCGCTTGGCACCCTCTCTGCTGGTGACCAGCGGGGTCCGCCTCCCACGCCCCTACCCCTGCACCTCCCCATCTCTCCTCCAGGCTCTCTCCACCCCAACTATGGAAAGCCACGCCCCACCGAGTCAGTGCACCCCAAAGGAAACTGAGGCCCGGGAATGAATCGAAGTACAAGGTCACACTGTCACACTTCTGGAAAGTGTCTCATAGCTAATGACTAGTAAGAAATATGCACCAGCCAGGCTGCTTCCCAAGTCCCCTCCTCTTTCCAAACTAGACCTTCCTGGCAGGCCTGGGGTAGCTAAGGTAGTGGGAACCAGGATGGAGATCCAAGCAGGGTCCTCAAGTTCCCCTCCATCTGGAAACTTTGGGAGTTATAGGGTGAAAAGAGTTGACTGGAGGTCTTTCTGGAAGTTGCCGCAAGATTCCTGCCCACCCCAGGCCTACTGTTATTACTGGCTGAGTAGGTATGAACTTGTGTGCCCAGGCTGGCATCCCTGTGTACCTCAGTCTGTCTTCCAGTTTTATGCAGACTCTTATCTAAGTCTTTTACCCTCTCCCTTCCGCCTGCATTCGGTACAGGGCAGAGGGTGGCCACAGACTCCAATCTGTTCCTCTAGCTTGTAAGTGGGAAGGTCAAGCTGAGAGAGGAGAGAGTACAGTTTATCTCCCCCTAAACCCTTCAAGAATTAGAGATGAGCAAAGAGGAACCCCCCTCAACCCCCCCCAAAGAATCACTGTTAGGAAGATTGGATGTGGTTCTACCCAGCCCTTGACCTGCCTGGGGGTAGCCTGAAGAATTACCTCCAGGAGAAAACAGAACTTCTCAGAATCCTGAGAGAGGCAGGATGGGGCTGAGCCCCAGAGGGAGAATGAAGGCTCTGTTCTGCAAGAGATGCACTTCTCCAGTAAGCTCTGCAGCAGCCTCCTGAGTTCTGTGTTCTCACTCTGCACAGAAGATACTGTCAAACAGATATCTTCAGATAGTTTAGGGGCCAGTGACAGAAAACTCCACCCCAAGTGATGTTGTCACTGGGGTGTTTATGTAGCAAGGCTGGAGGTTCTGCCCAGGGTTGGAGTTGAGTCTCCACTCCCTGATCAGATCTTTTAGATTCTCTCATTCAAGGCATCAGATGTGTGGAAGTGGTTGCTCTAGACCCAGCCGTGACATCCAGAATCCAGTCATCAGGAAGGCACTGGCTGATTACCCACAGGGACATACTCTGAAAATAGCAACCATTAATTCCACACCGATTGGTCAGAACTTAGTCGAATGGGCATCCCTAACTCCACTGGAGGCTAGAAAATGTGCCCTTTATTTCAGGCAGCCATGGGCTGGAATATGGCCTTTCATCACTCTGCTTGCTATTGTTTAATAACAACAAACCACAGGGTGGAGACCTTTTGAAAAGGAAAAAAAAAAAACGTTTTATTTTGGCTTCTGATTCTGGTGCAAGGGTGAAGGGCTACAGTTGGAGGTGTCCTTGATAGGAGAATCCTGGAGTGGTGCTGGGCGTTCTGCATTGTCAGACAGGGAGTTCTCAATACACCTAGCCAAACTGGCTTGGAAAGCGTGATGATGAATCATGGCTGCCAACTTGACTGGATCTGGAATCGACTAGAAGGCAAACTGATGGGTGCGCCTATGAGGGACTTTCTTGATCAGATTATCTGAAGACCCATCCTAGATGCGAGGAGTGTTCTCGTAGCAGCGCACGTAAAAGATGCAAGAAGGAAACTGCTTTTGGCCCGCTTGCTTTCACTCTTGCTCGAAGATCCACCGATCTTGTTGCTGCCATTGCTGCATTCCTTTGCTGGTATTAAAACCAGATTCTTCGGGTTTCCAACATAGACCAACAGCTTTCCAAGAATCCCCCAGGAACTTCGGGACCAGATTGGGACCACCGAGACATCCAGCTTTGTGAACTGAGCAACTACTGGATTCCAGCCTTTCTGGTGAGAGACAGTCGTTTGGACTACTACCTAGGCCATAGTGTGCATGCTAATCTAATTAATCCCCTTTTAGTATCTATATTAAAAATATATATCCTAGTCATCCTTAATTGTATATTACTTGTCCTCATCATTGAGACCAAATGCCTGACAAGAAGCAACTTAAGGAAGGGTTGATTTGGGCCCATTGTCTGTGGCATATAGTCCATCATGGTGGGGAAGGCATGAGGCTGCTGGTCACAGTACACCCCCAGTCAGGAGGCAGAGAGAGATGAATGCTGTTGCTCAAGCAAGTCAGCTTGCTTTCTCCTTTGTATTCATGGGATTGTGCTACTTGTGACACTGAGCTACCCACATTCAGGTGGCTCTTCCCTGTACAGTTAAACCTTCCAGGACAAAGGAAGACACACCCAGAGGTGTGTGTTCATGATGATTCTAAGTTCAGTCAGGTCAACAGTGATGATGAACCATCACAAACTTCATAAGTATATTAACTCATTTATGAAGACAGAGGCCTCATCAGCTACTGAAGTTTCTACCTGCTCCTGCCTCCTAAAATAACAGGGATTAAATTTCGAAATTAGTACTGGTGGAAACAGACCATATTTAAACCATGGCTCTCTATAAGAAGACCAAAAACACTGATTAGTAAGTACAGGCTCTGCCATACAGGGCTAGAGGCCAGGGAGGAGAGGAAGGAGAGAGTACTCAGACAGAATTGGGGGCCTTTCTTGTGAATTTATCAAATTCTGCTTTTTCAAGTATCTGTTGAACACTGGCAGGTACGGACTGGAGGCCATTCCTCCCTTCATGGAGTTTATATTCTGTTGAACATTGGCAGGTATGGACTGGAGGCCATTCCTCCCTTCATGGCGTTTATATCCAGCTTTGTGAACTGAGCAACTACTGGATTCTAGCCTTTCTGGTGCGAGACAGTCGTTTGGACTACCTAGGCCATAGTGTGTATGCTAATCTAATTAATCCCCTTTTAGTATCTATATTAAAAATATATATCCTAGTCATCCTTAATTGTATATTACTTGTCCTCATCATTGAGACCAAATGCCTGACAAGAAGCAACTTAAGGAAGGGTTTGTTTTGGCTCATGGTTCAAGAAAGGATACAGTCCATCACAGTGGGGATGGCACAGTGACAAGAGTGTGGGGCAGCTGGTCACATTGCACTCATAATCTGGAAGCAGAAAGAGATGAATGTTGATATTCAGCTCGCTTTCTCCTTTTATTTAATCCATGACCCTGGCCCTTAGGATGGTTCCACCCATCTTCAGGGTACCCCTTCCCTCTTCAGTTAAATCTTTATGAAAGCAGCATTATAGATACACCCAGAGATGTTTCCATGGTAATTCTAAGTCCAATGAAATTGGTAATGAAGTTTAACCATCCCAAGATCCTTTCCAATTCATTTTTCAGATTCCTGCTCATCTCAGCTTGAAGAGAGACTGGGCTACATTCAAGAATCTTAGAAATGTGTTGTGTTCTAGCCAGCCACAGGATCATCTTGTAAGTTTACTAAGGGAATTGCTACTGTGAAAGTTGAAGTCAACCAGTTTGCAGCTTGGCTTTGATCTCAAACCCAGAATGAATCTCTTGAGCAGCAGTGCCTTGAACTCACTTATTTCCTTCAGGCAGTGACTGACCTTTCAGGGAGACTTCATTCCAGTTTCCAGATGTTTCTCTAAGAGTCTAAGAGAAAAGAAAGTACAGGAGAAGGATGATATGCTTCTTCTTTCCTGTGGGTCCTGACATCCCCATGACCTTATAGGAGAGAAACAGAGCTATTTACCCAACTAAGGATTTAATTTTGTGCTGGCACTAATGTTATATCCCTTAGAAATTTGTTAGCCATCTCTGACAGGTGATTTCCCACTTAACTTTCAAACTGTCAGCTATGCATGCGCAGGAGTGAAGGACACACATGCTGGTTCCCAATCCCTTGGACAGGACAGCTTGGGGGATGTGCTGCTCTCTCCCAGAGCTCTGGCTGTCAGCTATGCATGCGCAGGAGTGAAGGACACACACGCTGGTTCCCAGTCCCTTGGACAGGACAGCTTGGGGGATGTGCTGCTCTCTCCCAGAGCTCTGCAGATTCCCACAGCGGATGCCTGCTCAACCATGCACCCCAGTATTGATGTCCTTTCCTTTTCTGGCTCATTCTCTAAAGGCAGGGGCTCAAGTTTCTTGGGGTAATTTTCCAAATAAAAATTAAGCATTTGTTCTTGCATCTTCACACCAGGGTCTGCATCTGGAATGCCAGTCTGCCGAGGGGTGGGGTAGATGGTCCCTTCTTTAACATCTGAGGATCCAGGAACTTCTGTGTTTGCCATAATACTAACTCTCATCTTAGTATGCACCATCCCGGGTCTTAGCAATATGACCTTCTCAGTGGAGCGTGGGAAGGCAGAGTCTGGATGCAGAACTTCAATGTGGCTCAAATCCATCCCTAAGACGTGCACCTTCCAGGTTCTGTCTCAGGATGATGGATGAGACCAGGTCCCCCATTCTGCTGCAGCCTTGACTGTGTTCCTTAGCTGTGCATGGGATATTTTGGAAGACTCCTCTCCCCATCACCTCACATGCCTGTGAAGGTGCTGCCAGGGAGGCATTTTAAAATAAGGCATTTATTTATATATGTGTGTCTGTCTATGTGTGGATATGTGCAGGTATTCACAGATGCCAGAAAAGAGTACTGGATTCCCCTGGAACTAGAGTTACAGGTGGTTGTGAGCTGTCTGATACAGGGTGCTGGGAACTAAATGCAGGTCTTCTGCAAAATCAGCAAATGTTTTAAAGCCATCTCTCCAGCCCCTT